ATATATATATATATATATGTATATATATATATATATATATATATGTATATATATATATATATATATATATATATATATATATATATATATATATATATATATATATATATATATATATATATATATATATATATATATATATATATATATATATATATATATATATATATATATATATATATATATATATATATATATATATATATATATATATATATATATATATATATATATATATATATATATATATATATATATATATATATATATATATATATATATATATATATATATATATATATATATATATATATATATATATATATATATATATATATATATATATATATATATATATATATATATATATATATATATATATATATATATATATATATATATATATATATATATATATATATATATATATATATATATATATATATATATATATATATATATATATATATATATATATATATATATATATATATATATATATATATATATATATATATATATATATATATATATATATATATATATATATATATATATATATATATATATATATATATATATATATATATATATATATATATATATATATATATATATATATATATATATGTTTTTATTAATACTTAATAAAATTATTCAATTAATTTTTTCAATTTATACTTGAACTGACAAGAGCATCATAACAAAGTCCAAGGGATCACAGACAGATCTTTAAAAGCTCAATAATTTACATAGTCTTAAGAAAAAATATACAAAATCACATACAAATACAAATAATACCATTCGACAGAGAGGGAACAATATTAATAGAATTATAGTATTAATAATAATTATAAAATTATAATAATACTAAAATTACTAAATTAAACAAACAAAATAAAGAAAAATTTAATTACAATAACAGGGAAAGCAACTAAAATCGAGAATCTTCTTTAAATACATCTGCATAATATTTCAGAAATCTTGGATTTTTTTTTAATATTCTAAATAAGATGTAGTGATTTTAGGAAGGAGTTAAACTATATCCTAAACTGAGCAAAGATTGAGTTATTATTTGCAAATTTCCGTTTTTGTATGAAAAATTTGCCGTATAAGATTAAAAAAAAATGTATGATGTGTTCCATGGATTTAGCTTTGGGGTTATTATAATGAAAAATAATATCTTTTAGACAATTCACAGCATTGGCAAAAGCAGAAATATGAGAATTTAGGAGTGACCAAAATTGAACCAAACCCACATCTATGAACCAAACCATTGATAAATGTTGCCTCAAGTTGTTACAAGGATTTCATTCTTTTTCGTCTTGTCTGCTTCCCTTTAAAATGCGTTTGTGAGATGTTTTAAGTCTAAATATTAAGTTTTAAATCCACTGAACTAACAAATACAAAGAAAGGGGACTTAAAAATGAAAATATCAATCATTTTACTTGTTTCTGTTTATATTCTGTAACTGGGAAAGATGTCATGTACACATTGAGTGCATAATTAACTAGATATCACAACATTTTTTAATATGTGAACTATCCCTTTAAAATGACAGAGTGTATGTATATCCATCGAGCTTGGCCAATAAGAAACACCTGTTTGGTCACATAACCCCGCCCACTTAAGTGAAACGTTCACGTCCCTTCACTGTGAATATTTAGGTGGAGATGATATAAGAGGTTCAAGTTCAAGTACAAAGAGCAAA